AAATTTCTGCATAAATCGTCCACTACTCGGTTTTTCGATCATATCTCTGCATAGGAATGTCCAAAACAAGTGAATTTTATATCATTGTAAAGCTATCTTGAAGGGATACAACTTTGATTCAAGAACCAAAGGCTAATTCAAACATTTCGAGCGCGAAAAAGTACCTAGAAGACAGTCGCAGTGCACAGGCAGATCACTGCCTGGTGGCCACGGGTATGGCCACGGCCGTGGCCACACCCGTGGCCACTGGGCAGTGTGATCTTCATTTTTGGCCACGGGTGTGGCCACGGGCCTCTGTACTATTTGACTGCGCGTTTTTTACCCTTTTAAGCGGATTTTTCCACCCCAAAACAAATCTCTCATTACATCTTTCATTTCCCTTTCATTTCTCTAGTTAGGGTTAGTTTAGAATAGCTTAGATTAGTGTAGATTTGTTGTTCATTTCCATTTTCAAGCTCAAGAACATTGCAAATCTTGGATTTCAAAGCTTCAATAGAGAAGTTTTCTTATTCATCTCTTCTCTTTACTTTTCATTTATGCTTTCAATTACTCTTTAAATATTGTGTATCTATTGTTATATTATGAGTAGCTAAGTGTTTTGGGACTAGGATTTGGTTTGATTTCTTGCTATTGATGCCTATTTGAGTTGTATTGCATAAAGGGGATTATTTGGGTGCTCTAGGGTTAGTTGTGTGATTTGGGTTTGTTGTGAATTTGTGTATAATTGTTGGATACCAATTATATGCTTGATTTGGAGTGTGTTTGTTGCTACGAGAGTAGAGCTTGTACACTAGCCACACATTCACACACTTATTGCCCAATACGAGAGTATTTCGGGTATTAAGGAGAGTTTATGCCTTGTGTTCTTGCTTGGGCAACCTTGGGTTGAATTGCCACGAGAGTGGAGTTTAAGGTGAGGTTGCAAGTCCAAATAGCTACGAGAGTGGTATTTGGACACTTTTGTACATCTCACTTACCTTATGTCTTGATTTAGTTCCCTAATCTTTAGTACAATATTTGGCATCTTAGCTTGAATCAACCAAGTCCCGGTCCTTTGTTTTACTTGTCTATTTTTTATTAGCCTAATCATATCAAGCCAACTCATTATCGATAGGTCTAGCTTCTAAAAGAATAGTTCTAGCTTCTGCTTAACTCCGCTTTGCATCAATTCCTAACATTACAAGAGTCATCTCCAGTGGAACGATATCTTAACACTGTACTGTAATTTGATACTTGATGGATGCGTGAAAAACGTTTCTCATCAAATTTGGCGATGTTGCCGGGGATGGCTTTGTTTTGATTGTTTTGTGGTAGTTAACATTAGTTAATGACTATTCTAGGATACTAGACCATATTTTTTTCTCTTTGTTTTTATTTTACTTTTCTTACCTTTTGCTCTAGTTTTCTTTGCTTGAAGGGACATCTTTGAACTTATATGCACACAAGATCCAAAGGAGTTGGAGGTTTGCAACCACTTGACTTGGAAATTGAGAGAGGTGTCAAGCAAATGCGAAGAGAGCATCGTTCCATTCTTCAACAACAAAGAGTAACCATGGAGAGCACAAGCCAAGGAGTTACCCGTGATACTTCGGAACAAGAAGGGGAACACTATGTTCCAAATCCTCAAAATGATCCTAGGAGGGTTCCGGTTCAAAATGACTATCAACAAGTCCCTATTGAAGAACAGGCTCATATCCCTCCTCAAGTGCCTAGTCCTCGACATCAAGGGATGCCTCAACAAGGCTTTCAACCTCATGAAATTCCACCTCTTGGAGATGCACCACAAGGGAATCATCCTCATGCTCCACCGCCATACCATTATCCATATCCACCTCCCCCTCCTTATCACTATGGATACTATTATCCACCGGGACCACCACCACGACCTCAAGTGCCCCGAGCACCAATGCCACAACCTAGAGGTCCTAACAAAGGAGGAGATTGCTTGATTATGTTGCGGGGGATATTGATGAGGAGGATAGTATCTACTGCAACCATGATTTTAGTAGAGCCCGTCACACAGGATCATGATTGTGAGTCTTTATACAACACCCATGAGTATTCACCCAAAAAAAAAAAAAAAATACAAACACACATGTGTTATTAACTATACATGCATTTAATTTTTCTAAGAGAAAACATTCCATCTATTATATTTTCTATTAATGTCATACTAACCCTTATTAGTTCATACTTTTATAATTTAAAATTTTAATATTTTTTATAACTCTTAAGGTGCATCACTTTCTAGTTTAAGGTGCACAACTTATAAACTCTATGTGCATAAATTTCAAGCTTAAGCTGCATGAATTTAACACTTAAGGTGCACAACTTTAATTTATTAGGAATATGGACTTCTATACTTTAGCTGCATAAATCTAAAGGTTAAGGTGTATTATTTTCTAGCTTAAGGTGCATAAGTTTGAAGCTTGTGGTGCATCATTTCAACAATTAAGGTGCATCAGTTCGAGACTTCAGGTACATTAGTTCGAAGACTTAAGGTGCATCAGTTCGAGACTTCAGGTGCATAAGTTCAAGACTTAAGGTTCATTAGTTCAGAGCTTAAGGTGCATAAGCTCGACACTTAAGTTGCGTCAGTTCGAGACACTTAAATCATTCGCATCATGTTGCCAGGAAGCACCTTTGTTTGTTTGTTTGTTTGTTTTAATTTTCCTTCACCGTACCGTTGATCTAATCTAGATCAATGAGTCAAATCTCACCCCATTTTTCACCTGGACACCCTTCGCACGTGAACCATCCCCTATATATATATATAACAAGGGATCAAGTGCGAAAGCTATCTCAGGTGAAACATGCGGATTAATCGTAGCCATTGATCTTGTCAAAATCAACAACCTAGAATGAACATAAAATTTTTAAAACAATGCGATGACATTATGGTAATTTTGCGTATTGTTGAAAGCTTAAGGTGCGTAATTATAACGCTTAAGATGCGTATTTTCAAAGCTTAAGGTGCGTCACCCAATTTTTCACCTGGGAGACCCTTCGCACATGAACCATCTCATATATATATAAACAAGGGATCATGTGCGAAGCCCGCATGGGCTTAGCTCAATGGTTTAGTGGGCAGCATTTGGGAGAAGAGACCAAGGTTGGAACCTTGGCGGTGGCAGTGTGGGAATTATGTCTAAAGTGGGCAGATTCCTTGTGCGCACTGGCATTTGGCCCTGTCTGCTGAACCATTGAGTCACCGTGATTTACATCCTCCCACATGCTCTGTCGGATCGGAGTGTGGGGGGCCCTTAGGGTTGGGGATTCAACCTTTTGGGAGAAGGGATCAGGTGTGAAAGCTCTTCCAGGTGAAACATGTAGATTAATCATAGCCATTGATCTTGCCAAAATTAACAACTCAGAATGAACATAATTTTTTTTAAAAAAAATGTGTTGACATTATGATAATTTTGCGTATTATTGAAAGCTTAATGTGCGTAATTGTAAATTTTAAAGTGTGTATTTTCAAAGTTTAAGGTGCGTTATTTGATATATTCCTTGATAAACACTTACCAACAACTACAACATTTTTTATCCTCTCAACCATAATCGTTTTGTCATTTTCTACCGTTTATTTTCAACTTACATTATAAAAACATGTGTATATTAATTTCAAGTTGATGCATTCATAATCATTAACAAAGACTCAATTTTCCACTTACATTATAAAAACATGTGTATATCTACTTTTAGTTATTTATTTAAAATACTAACAACGACTAATAATACAACTACTAAAAATATATTATTGATAATACTAGTCTTTGAATTATTAGTGCTGCAAGTTGCAGAAGCGATCAAAATATTTAACTAAAAAATGTTTAAGTGTGCTCCAAATGATAAAGGTAGCTCAATGTGTAGAATATAATCCCATCTAGAGCTGTCAATGCGGGTTGGCGGGGCGGGACTCGCCAAAGCCCGCCTTATCCTGCCTTTTTGTCAGGGCGGGCTAAAAAGCCAGTTTTTAAAACGGACCTAGGTAGAGGCAGCCCGGCCCGCCACGCCTTGGGCCCGCGGGCCCCGGCCAAAGCCCGCCAACTTTTTTTTTTAATATTTATTTATCATGTGTCCCTAAAGTCTAAACTCTAATGTGTCTATCTTAATAACTTAATTGTTATCAACATAAAACACTTATCCATCACTTATCTAATAAATCTAAAAACAACTACTCAAATATTGAAATATATTACAAGTTTATATCATACATTTTATATGATTATCAAAAAAAAAAAAAAAAAAAAAAACATACATTATATATACTTGTAAAAAGTTCACAAATCATTATATTAAAAATAAGTAAATAACACAAATTAGTTATCACATCAGGACAACAATGATACCATATAGTCCATTCAGTCCAAATAGTCAATACACCATACTGCATAAGTTCATAAACCAAACATTCAAAGTTCAAACTCCAAAAAAGTACAAAACATAACTAATTAAGTACATAAGTTCATAAATTCATAAGTCCATTACACCAGTCAAACATTCCAACATTCACATCTTTTTCATCTTCATTTTCATCATTGTCATCAACAACATTTACAACATTTGAATCTTTATAGGACAAATTTGATGTTGCACTCGAACTTTCTTCAGTATCTACATAAAAATTCAACATAAAAGAGAGTTAAAAATTAAATTACAATACACCAAAATATCAACTAAATAAACAAACATAATAACTTACCAATAGCATTATTTAGTTTCAGTTTTATTTTATTTTAGGATTAAGAATTTAGGATTTAGACTTAAAAAAAAAAAAAAAAAAAAAAAAAAAAAAAAAAAAAAAAAAAAAACGGGTTGGCGGGCCACCTGCCTAGCCCACGGGCTAGGCAGGGCGGGCAAAAAAGACCATTTTTAAAATGAGCTTTTAAAACACGAGCCCGCCCCGCCTTTTTGGTGGGCGGGACGGGAAAGCCCAGTGGGCTAAGCCCATTTTGACTGCTCTAATCCCATCGGCTTTTGCGAAACTTTTCAGCTACACTATCAATCTCTGTCTCCTTGCCACAAACTTGATTGTATATTTTGTTCAACAAGTACGTACTATCATCTTCTTGAGAAATAGTACACCATACACGATTGTGAAAGTGGTTGGCTACAATTTTCTCATCATACACTCTCTTGACCAAAGTTGTTTTTTTCCAACCCGCCAATACATGTAATTAAAACAACTTCTCTCTCCTTTGACCCATAAATAAGTTAATTTATAATTAAAAGAACGTTTGGGGTCTTGGGTTTACGGAAAAGGTTGGCCTTCCCCAAGATGCCTTGATAAACATTTATAAAAAAATAAAAAATAAAAAATTGTTACTATTCTGGAAGCCTCAGCTTCTCAAATATAGAGGCCTTGAGGCTTCCCGTCAATACCCATCCGATGTGAGACATTATATTGGATGGGTACTGAAAATAAAATAGGGGCATTGAGCCTCAATGCCCTTCTTTTGTTTTTTGGTGTTGTGCGACAAAATTAACACGGAGCCTGCATGCGCCTTGCAGGCTCCCCCTTTGTCTCCTTTTTTCTTTATTATTTTTAATTATTATTATTATTATATTATTATTGTATTATTATTATTATTATTATTTTATTTTTTATTGTAATGTCCTTATAAGTTAATTTTACATTTTTTTTGAATGAAGTTATTTTACATGTTAATTGCTAAACTTAAGCAATTAATTTTACTAAATATCATTTTACAAATTATTGATACAATCCGCTGGTCAAACCCGCAACACAATTCACAAATCGCAAACCGCAAACCGTTAACATAATCCGTTAATTACTAACTGCTAACCGCTAAACGCCATCCGCCAAACAAGACTATAACTTTATAGTTATCAAGTCAATCGTATGATCAATTTGTGGTTACATGTGGTATTTTATTCTATTGGAATGATGTTTTATAGGATGTGAGACGACTTTGTTGTTTGTCTTTATAATTGTTTGATTTAATTTACCTTTGTATGGCTCATATTTAATTTTGTGATAATTATATACTTTAATTAACATAACTATAACTTTTTTTGGTTTGGTGTGGTGAACGGAGAAAAATGACAATACAGGAAATAAGTTCCATTTGTTTATAAAGAATATTTATCAAATCACAAAATAAAATTGGCAAAATAACCCTTTGACCCTTATGTTATTATTACCACTCAGTTAATTGTGTCTTTATCTTTTTTTGGTCAATTGAATCTTTTTATTACTACTTTTACTAAGAAATATATATGAATACAACTGTTATACCATGGATCAGATTCACCTTTCATTATAGACACTGGTCCAAAATGACATTTAATGTATTTACAGGTAATATTTTAACTACAGGTACACTATCTTAATGCCATTGATTTGCACCTTGCAAACAAAATATAGTTTTTGTGCGATATAATTCAAACTTTTTTAAAAAGTTAAATTATATTTATACTAGTGTAAAACCACATGCTGACATGGTCTTCCAATCTGAGACAACAACTACTTAAAAGCCTTCCAAATCTGGGAAAAAAACTGAAATGTGAATCTAAGCCTTCTTATTTCCCAAAATGTGATGCAGCTGGGCGATGGACTAATCTATGAAAAGGACGTTTGGGACATGAAATTTTTTGACACAGTCTAATGACGACAAACAACTCGGAATCATAATGCGGCTATTGTCAGAACAGTATTGGCCAGCCACACAGTATAAAAATAATAATAATCGAGGAAGTTTGGGACATGCCTAAAACGCTTGTCCCAAACGTCCTTTTCATAGATTAATCCATTGCCCAATTGCGTCACATTTTGGGAAATAGGAAGGCTTAGGTTCACATTTCAATCTTTTTCCTTCCAATGCAAACCTCTATCTTTTCTAACTCAATGGATACATTTGAAAATTAAGAATAGGAAAAATGACACTTTTTCCTTTGAGTTATATGTTTATAGCACTTTTTCCCTCTGAATTATTCATGCATCCATATTTGTCCTCTCAATTATTATAAAAGTGGCGGTTTTCCCCCTTAATATATTAAATGGACATTTCTACCCTTAAAATAAATATTTTATTTATTTCTCTTCTTCAACAAATTATTGCTTATACGTAGGGATGACCACGGTTCGGTTCTAACTGAACCGGGCACTATAGCAATCAAATCGAAATTTTTTGGTTATGATTCAGAATCAGAACCCAATATTTGGATTTCCGCTTATTAAAATCGTGAACTGAAAAAAAAATGGATCCTAAACCGTGAACTGGAGGTGCAAATCGGAACAACTACTAGCATTAACTTAAAATTATAATTATAATATTGCAAATAGCGTATGTTATTTTTCACGGTTATTTTGATTCTCAGATATAAGAATATATAACCGTGATTTGGTTTTGATTTTGAACCGTCGATTCACTGTATTTTTAAAATATTTTAAATTCAACCATTAATGTATTTTATTTTTTCACCAATTCAAATTAAACATTAACGGGCAGTTTTGGTTCGCGATTTTAGACACCTGGCCACTGCGAGAGTATGTACTACTGTACTAGGGTGTTGTATATGTTTGGTATCTTGCTTGGACAATTTGAATTTGAATTACCACGAGGGTGGAGTCCAAGGTAAAATTGTAGGTCAAAATAGTTTTGTTTTGTTGTTTTTCATGTAGAGCATGCTAGTGTTCAAGAGAACAAACTAAGCAAATAAGGAAAGAAAGAAGTTCAAAAACGAAACTATTACGCCGTATTAGTTTAGAAAAGCTAATTAAGGGCTTACCTTTTGTAACTGCGAACAAACTTTGATCTATCTCATCGATCTCAATATATCTGATTGTGGAATGTGTGTAATCGATCAAATTGGTTTCTAAGTAAAGAAAGAATGAAATGGAGTAGTTAGTTGGTAGAAGAAGAAGAAGAAAGAAAGAAAGTGTTTTTTTTTACTTCGGATATAAATAAAGCTTCGAGGTTATCGAACTTTGCACCTTCGTCAACGTGTCATGTGTTCAGATTGTCACTCAAGTAACATTGGTGAGATAAAGTCATAGAATCACATCCGCATAAAGATAGAGCTAGATAAATGAACTAGTGAGTTAACTTTAGACCAAAACGATTTGTTCGCATCAATGAACTTTAAAAGGAATAAGGTTCAAATTGGTCACTCAAAGTAACTTAAAAATGCAATTAGGTCACTGAACAAAAAAAAAAAAAAGTGCAATTAGACCACTGAACACTTCAAAAATGTGCAATTTCACTTGATAGCAGGTTACCATCAATTTTAACAGGTTACCTGCTTACGTGGTAGCTGAGTTGGCATTTTTAATAATTTTAAATAATTTGTAATAAATTTTAATAATAATTTTTAATAAAATAAATAAATAAAAAAAGACGGCCACCCCGTCGTTTATTTTTTACTTAAATTTTTTCAATTTTTAAAAAATTATTATTAAAATTAAGAGGAAATTACACTTTTGGTCCTGTGACTATTGTGGTCTTGTTAATTTGAGTACTTGACTTTAAATACTATCAATTTAGTCCTGTAACTATGAAATTTTTAACACATTTGGTCCTCCCGGCCAAATGTTGCCGGAAAAATGTAATTTCTGTAAACTTGTTTATTTATAGGGGCAAAATGGTCATTTTAGCGAAGGCTGAAAAAAAAAAAAAAAAAAAAAAAAAAAAGAGAGAGAGAAAATTGCACCGCCACCTCCCAAGCTGATCCCAATCCACCACCTGCCAAGAACCTCAGCTGCAGCCTTCATCAAATCATCGTTGCTCTGCGTCTTGAACATGATGGTGATTAGCAGGAGGGCTATGACTACTACTATGATTATCCATTTCGTAATTTATGGAGTTATTCTGGCCATGATTATTTCATGAATTTTGTTTCTTCAATTTCAACTCAAACTGTGAAGGTACACATTCTCGCTGAGGCATTTTAACAGTCATCTGGGTCGGCAATCGTAGATTTCTTGGTTTTCCTTCTTTCTTGTATCTTAAAGATTTAATGGGCTTACTTTATTACCATAAAACAGGGAAAGAAAATGGATGATTTACTTTGCTTAATACAATTTATTCATTTGTCATTCTCTCTTTAAACCACTGAACAGTTTTTTGTTCTCCCTGGAGTTTATTATTAGACATGTCGAGGTTAACCAGGGGTTTCTGAGCCAGGGTGGGGATTTCGCCGGAGATTTCATTCCCTTCAAGGTGAAGTTCAATCAAATTTGGCAGCTTTCCAAACGACCCCGGAATCCTGCCTTAAAACTTGTTGTTTGCCAGCCAAACTTTCTTCAGAGACATGAATCTCATGAGGAAATAGCAGGCCGAAAGAAAAAGTGTGCGGAAAAGGGATGGACAGATCAGAGATAACAATGATCATAAAGTTTAAATACCGAAGTGGCGGCGGTGAAGGCGGTGCAATTTCCTCTTTTTTTGCTTTTTCCGGCCGTCGCTGCAAGAAGGAAGAAGAAGAACGGAGAAGAAGGGAAGGGAAGGGGAGGAAGAAGAAGAGCATGAAAGGACTAATTTGCCCTCATGATTAAATAATTAAAAATAGTTTATATTTTTCCGGCAACATTTGGCCAGCGATTTGGTCGGGAGGACCAAATGTGTTAAAAATTGTATAGTTACGGGACTAAATTGATAGTTTTTAAAGTCAAGTACTCAAATTAACAAGACCATAATAGTCACAGGACCAAAAGTGTAATTTCCTCTAAAATTAATTATTAAAATTTATTAAAGTTTATTTAAAAATTATTAAAAATGCCAACTCAGCTGCCACGTAAGCAAGTAACCTGCTAAAATTGATGGTAACCTGCTATCCGGTGAAATTGCATACATTTGGAGAATTCAGTGGCCTAATTGCACTTTTTGAATTGTTCAGTGGTCTAATTACACTTTTTTTTAGTTCAGTGACCTAATTGCATTTTCAGGTTACGTTCAGTGGCCAATTTGAACATTATTTCACTTTAAAATTATGATTATGAGATGTTCTAAATTTTTTTGCAATCCATGATCCATGGTATCGAATCATAAGGAAACTCTTGGCCTCTAAGTTCACTAAAACATATATAAATATAAATTTGATTTTTTATTGTATTTTTATTTGAAAGAGAATTTTTTGAAGGTAAACAATTGAAATTTATATCAAAGAATTGAAGAAAGATGTTCAATACAAGATGGTATAGAGATATTTAAATTACTAACTATTTAGATACTTGATATTGAAATATTTCGGTCATTCAATAATTCTACACACAACTGGAATAAAAAACAAAAGAAGAAAAAAAGTTAGAACAACTGACCAACCCCAATATTTTAATAGTGGAGTGTGGAGTTGTTTATTTCTTTGACACCCCTTAGCCATTTCGGTTGCCCTCCACTCTGCCATTTCTGTTGCCCAAACAAGAGGTTTTAATAGTACGACATTTCATCTTGATATGATCCGTTTCACGGACAAAGATTTGTGAGACGGTTTCACACAAATTTTTGTCATATTTTAATAGTGGAGTGCAGAATTATTTATTTCTTTGACGCTTTGCTCTCCAGTTATCCATTTCTGTTAACCAAACAAGAGGTTTTAATAGGACTCCATGCACAAAATGTAGATCTAGATGCAATATTTAAAGCAATTTGCAAACAAGCCTGGCTAGTAATAGTATTGGTCAAAGTACGTACTTAAAAGAAGTTCATGTACTGTATGATAATTTGACCCATACTAGCTACCCTTGTTTAATTAGTAGGTATGAGTGTATGACCACGGTTCCAGTTCCAGTTTCGATTTCAGAAACGGACGAATCGAAACCGGAACCTTTTATAAAGATTTCAATTCATGTTCTTGAACTGGCTGTTCCGGTTCGAACCAGCGATTCTAATATGCTTTTACAAGAAAAAAAAAAAAAAAAAAAAAAAAAAAAAAAAAAACCTATGTTTTTAGTTTTTGGCCAATATGGCCATGCTATTTGCTATTGGCCCGTAGGCCACTGGCCTACCTACGCCAGTGGCCTGCTGGTCAAGAATTCTTTTGAAAAGCCAAAGCCGCAGGCTTTTGCGGCTTTGGCTTTTCAACTACCACCATAATTTATGTATGTATATATGCATATATATTTCGGTTTTGGAATCGGAACTGGTTCCAAATTATTTGAAACTGAAATCAGAACTGGAATTACGATTCTGGTTCAGTTTCAACCGTGCATAATTCGGTTCGAATCGTGATCATACCTATTAATTAGTCCCAATCAAAGGTGACTACTCAATATTTTATTAAATTGATTAAAAATGCCTAAAGTTTATAAAAGAAGTTAAAGAATATAATAGTGATCAATGTGCTTTAATTTAATTTTTTACCGTATAAATATAAAGCTAGAAAATTATGCTAAAATGATTGTGTTAGTGTTTTTATTTTCTCCAAAAAACCCCCAATATATAATTGGCAATATTATTATGGCAAATTAAGATAGGGTTTGGTGTCTGTTTATTGCTACAGAGGACTGATTGATCAGGTTCATCAACAGATGCACTGAGACTGAAGAACTGATAAAGGAAGATGTTTCCAAAAATGCTGAACGCGGTTTGAGAAGACAGTTTTGGAAAGGAGAATCAGCGGATCTGTTTTGGAAGGTATGGACCGAATCTTTAAGATTACATTCTTCGCAAATTGTCCTACCATCTACAATCAAAGATATTTTTGGAGAGTGTGAAAATATAAGTACCCTCATTCGGTCATGAATTAGGGTTACGATTTTAAGAAGACAAAAAACACTCCCTGCTATACAGAGGATCATATCTTTGATTATCATGCCTCTTCTCAAGATTATATGTTCTTGGTGATTATGATGAAGAACTTGGGAAGAACTATCGTTGCTTAAACGACAGGACGCGAAGATCACTCAGTTGTGGGAACAACGTGGGACTGCGTCATTGAAGCGGACTGCATCAGAGTTAGCTCTCCAATCGAAGGGATTTCGTTGGACTTCTGCATGCGTGGCTCTCCGTCTTCAACAATCCACTAAACCTTTGTAGACTGGGTACGTACCTTGTGTGGGGCACTTGGGTGAGATTCTTGTTTTTCTACCTTTGTACATTGGATTATGAGTTAGTGGATTGAACGCCTCGGTGATCGTCCCCCAGATGTAGATACACATCGTATCAAACTGGGTAAACATCGTATGTGTTGTTTTATTATATGCTTTAGTTTTTGTAAGCATTGAAAATTTAAATAATATTGTTGGACCGTGGTGGATAATTGCTTACTAAATTAATTACTTTAATTGAGTTAATTGGACTGATATTTAGTTAATCGGGTTAATTAAATGGCCCATTAAATATTTAATTGGCTTAATTACTTAATTAAATATAATTGGATGTTGCATTGTTCGGTCCGAGATGATGAAATATTTAATCAAGTTGGACCAGGCTATTGAATCAATTGGATTGCATAATTAGCGGGTTTGACTTGGTCTTGGCCCACTAAAATTATATGTGGATTATATAATTTTGAGGGATTTGAATATTTTATATTTTTGGAAATTTAATGAAATCATGAACCTGGACGCAATGGTGTCTCGATACGTTCCTTAATTTAATTAAAATAATTAAATTAAATTAGGAATTAAGAGTTGGTTGGAGATTTTCCCTCACACTCATCACTATAAATAGTGGTTTCATTTCCAAAGAATGGGCTCTGGAAATCTGCATACCGAAGCTCTGCCGAAATCTCGCCAGGATATCATCTGGAACACGCCCGCAGTTGTACTGCGTATACCTCGCTGAGGAACACGCCACTTGAACACCGGAAGCCCTTCTTTGAAGATTAAGCTGCATATTAGCCCTTCATTGAGGAACAAGCTACTAACTCCGGAGGCCCTTCAGCAAGCAACTACTTCCAGTTCGGCATACTCCCGAACTCGGCATACTTCCAACTCGGCATACTTCCAGCTCGGCATACTTCCGACAATGAACTACTTCAAGTTCAGCATACTCTGAACTCGACACACTTCCAATTTGGCATATTCCAAATTTGGCACACTTCTAATATACCGCTAGTAGAGAATCAGAGGACCTCTCATATACAGAGATTGTACCCCTACTTGATTGATACATACTACTTGTAACCGATACTTTGAATTTTGAATATATACAATTCAAGTTTTTCGCGTTTACATATTTTGGCACGCCCAGTGGGACAACGCTGCCTCTCATCTCTCTACTACTACTGTACCTCTACTTGCGCATCAAATGGCATCGAACAATCCCATGTTCAGGAGGACCTATGCCTAAGCTACCAAGTCCAGGTCTACGCCTGTAGCTAGCTCTGGCACTACCTAGAAAACGCAAGGTCCGCTGACAAGGAACCGCGCAAAAGATTTGGGGGTCCAAGTGCCTGAACCTCAGTCCATGGCACGATGGGTGGTTCGAAGGCTTGACAAGGCCCCTGCTGCCTCAAAGGCAATTGCTTTTGCTGGAAGTCCACACTCTCCCAAGGGAGCTACCGATAGTGGTAGTCCAACTTCTATGCAAGGGAACGCCAGTAGCGGGAGTACTTCCCCCGTAACTCCGCCACACCCATTATGAAAGGCTGCACCTGAGTGGTCGCATGTCTACAACGTCATGCCGGCCATGGCGACAAACACAAAGTCTGTGGAGGAGCAATTAGCTAGAATTGCTAAGTCTCTGGAAGGAATGGCTGTCGCCCTCCAAAATCAAGAGAAACGGCTTAACACCCTCGATAATAGGGTAGGAAGCATCATGGAGGAGCAAGGAAGTCGTGCTCTAGGAAAGAAACCCGAAGGGAAAGAAGAGGTTGGTCAGCAATCACCACCACCTCCTGTTAGCCATGCGGCAGGAGAAGCTGCTTCCCACTTACCTGCAACTGAGAAATCTATACCAGTCACTGAAGACATGATACCGGTGGATCAGTTGAAGGACTACATAATGGGGGCCATCAAAGGCAAGTTGGATGAAGGCCAACCTTCATATTCCTATGATAAGCCCTACACACAAAGAATTGAGGAGTTGAAAATGCCATACGATTATCAACCTCCTAAGTTTCAGCAGTTCGATGGTAAAGGAAATCCTCGACAGCACATTGCCCACTTTGTGGAGACATGCAATGATGCCGGGACTTATGGAGATCTGTTGGTAAAGCAGTTTGTCCGTTCATTAAAGGGAAGTGCGTTTGATTGGTACACCGACCTCGAACCCGGCTGCATTGATAGCTGGCATGATATGGAACGTGAGTTCCTAACCCGTTTCTATAGCACGAGGAGAACAGTCAGCTTCTTGGAACTCACCACTACTCGCCAATGGAAGGGTGGACGCGCCGGTGCCTACATCGAAAGGTGGAGGGAACTATACTTGAATTGCAAAGAAAGAATATCCCAGAGTTCTGCAATTGAGATGTGCATCCAAGGCATGCACTTTGAACTCTCCTATATCTTGCAAGGGATTAAGCCAAAGACCTTTGAAGAGTTGTCCAGTCATGCTCACGACATGGAGTTGAGCATCGAAACCAGCGGAGGGCTCAACATATTGAACTTGCCTAGCTCCTCCAATGCACCTGGAAAACAAGACGTTAAAAAGTGGAACAAACCATTTCCAAAGCAAGAAAAGAAAGAGGTGTTGAATGTGAAGGTTACTCCTATGACAGTTTTTACTAAGGCAACTGAAAGGCCTAGGCCAAGATCATTTTCTCGCCCGTCAAGGGGTGGTAGAAGGCCGACAATTGAAGAAAGGCAGGAGAAGACTTATCCTTTCATGGATTCCGATGTATGTCCTATGTTTGATGAGCTACTCAAACTTAGACTCATTGAGTTGCCAGAAATGAAACGTCCTGAGGAAGCTTCAAGGGTGGATGATCCACACTATTGCAAGTATCATCGTCTTCTTGGTCATCCGATTGAGAAGTGTTTTATCTTCAAAGATAAAGTAATGGCACTGGCCAGGGATGGGAAAATTGAGCTTGCCAATGCCAAAGCGAGCTCAAATCAAATCTCGATTACACTCGGACGGTTCGCTCCGCTGTGTACTGAAAAGGAAGATGGGAAACAACGGAAGCGTCCACTCCCCTTCATTGTTAAGCACGCTGTCGGTCAAAGTTCAGAACCACGACAGAATGATAACACATCCGAAGGAAAATGGGTGATTGTCACTCATAGAAAGAAGAAAGTTGAGCCTGTGAAGCATCAAAAGCACATAGTGAAAAGTTGGATTGAGAAAACCTCAACAAGTGGCCATGCCCGCAGACCAAAGACGAAGGGGCATGTCAAGCAACCACGAGCACCAGTTCCTTTGGCTCAATATATGCCAAAAGGATTTAATCTTCAAGGGGTAGACACTGCTAGCTCCTGCCTAAATACAAATGACAAGCCAGAAGATGGAGGTGAATGTTCATCTCCTAAACACACCGAGGATTAGGAAGTGTTAATGCATAAGGCTACTTCCTACTCCACGGAAATTACCTTCAAGGATGAAGACTTGTTACTTGGAGGCACGCCACACAATCGCCCACTATTTGTTGAAGGCTATACCCGTGGGCAAAAGCTCAAGAGAATTATGGTTGATCAAGGCTCAGCTGTCAACATCCTATCCCTCCGAACTGTGAAGGACCTTGGTATATCTACAGATGAGCTTGCCCAAAGTCGTCTAATGATACAAGGCTTCAACCAAGGAGGGCAAAGAGCAATCGGCATCATCAGACTTGACTTAAGAATTGGAAGCCTGAGTTCAGGTGTCCTCTGCCATGTCATAGATGCAAGGACATCTTATAACTTGTTACTTGGAAGGCCGTGGATACATGAAAATGGGGTGGTACCCTCTCCTTGGCATCAATGCTTCATGTTTGAAAGGAACGGCGTAGTTGAAAAGGTTGTCGCCGATGAAAGCCCTTTCACAGAGGCTGAGTCTTACTTTGCAGACGCAAAGTTCTACATTAAAAGGCAAGTTATTGTTGAAGATATTGAGGAAAGCAATGACGATCCACCTTCCTAATCAAAGTCAAACGGAAAACAAGTTGTAGAGGGAGATCAGCACAACACGAAACTCATCTTCCCGCTTGCAAGGATTGATATACTCAAAGCAAATGCAGCAAAATCATCTGAAGAGAAGGGTGGTGATAAAGTGGGCCAAATATTCCCCGCCAAGCGTACCGAGGGTTTCGACCCTAACGCTTATAAGCTTCTAGCCAAGGCTGGCTATAACCCCAACGAGCCACAGAAGTTGGGAAAGCTTATCCCAGAAGCCGGCGGTAAAGGCAAGGCAAGTTACGAAAAACCTCAAACGCGCAAAGGGTTGGGCTATGTCCCCCCTAAACCAGTGCGAATTCTTATAAACAGGGCTGCAAGTAATTTTATCTCCGCGGTGGGAAGCGAGTATGACCCAAAACTCACTCCTACCAATGATAATGGGCAAGACAAAAAGAAGTCAGTCTTCGACCGAATTGGTAAGGCAGACTCTCGACGCTCAGTCTTTGATAGACTAGGGTCAAGTCCTAAAGCCTTAAAGAGAAAGTCAATGCATGATCGACTTGGGGCTATCCAAGTTGTTAAAGGCAGTGCCAATGTTCCTGCTGAAGTGGAGCCTCCGGAAAGGCTTAGAAGCATGATTCCTTCTCGGATGAGACGAGAAACATATGTTCATGTTTCATGTGGTGAAGTGTTGAAAGTCCAACTGAAGACCATTGTACACACTCGTGTACATAAAGAAGAGAATGAGGAAAGCGTAGGCTCAAGTGATGACATACCGCCAACTACTCAGGAAGAGGTGGCATCGTCATTCCATATCACTTTATGTGATGAAACCCCGATTGAGGGGGAAGATGCAGAAGATGCACCCCATGAGTTAGAAGAAGGTGTACGAGCCGCGGTGGATGAATTAAAAGAAGTTGATCTGGGAACTCCTGAAAATCCTCGTCCTATCTTCATTAGCGCACTCCTATCTGATGAAGATGAAGAAATCTATGTCACATTGCTGAAAGAATATATTGATGTCTTTGCATGGACAAACAAGGAGACGCCAGGGTTAGATCCAAAGGTAGCTGTGCACCGCTTAGCAGTGAAGAAGGGGTGTCGCCCGGTTAAGCAAGCTCAACGACGTTTCCGCCCTGAGCTCATTCCCTTGATTGAAACAGAAGTTAATAAGCTTATTGAGGCTGGGATGAGGCATGCAAGAACGCATTTGAGAGTATCAAGTCATACTTGATGAAGCCACCCGTGTTAACTGCTCCTGTTCACGGTCGCCCGCTGATCCTTTATATCTCCGCCCAGGATTGTTCTGTGGGCGCCTTGCTTGCTCAGGAAAACGACAAGGGAAAGGAGAATGCTCTCTACTATCTTAGTAGAACGATGGCCCCGAACGAGTTAAAGTACTCCTCAATTGAAAAGCTATGTTTGGCACTTGTGTTCGCCATAAAAAAACTTAAGCACTACTTTGAGGCTCATACCATCCGGCTTGTTTCCAAAGCGAACCCGGTGAAGTATGTTATGGCGAAGGTCGTGCTCTCTGACCATCTTGCAAGGTGGTACTTATTGTTTCAACAGTTTGAAATCATCTATGTGTCGCAGAAGTCTGTCAAGGGGCAAGCCTTAGCTGATTTCCTCGCAGATCACCCAATACCTGCTGAATGGGAGTTGTCTGATGATTTGCCTGATGAAGATGTTCTTATCATTGAAATCCTACCCCCATGGAAGATGTACTTTGATGGAGCTTCGCATAGAGAAAGGGCAGGAGCTGCATTTATCTTCGTCACTCCAGAAGGCGAGGTGTTGCCGTATTCATTCACCTTGATGGAAACTTGTTCAAACAATGTTGCTGAGTACCAAGCATCGATACTTGGGCTCGAGATAGCGACTGACATGAAACAACTGAGGATTAACATTTATGGAGATTCAAAGTTGATCATAAACCAAGTGTTGGGTCTATATGCAGTGAAAAAGGCGGAGTTAGTCCCATATAACAACTATGCAAAGGTACTCATGCAATGGTTAGGGGACGTCACAATTGAACATGTACCGAGGAAAGAAAACAAGCAGGCTGAAGCCTTAGCCGCATTGGCTTCAACTATTACTTATCTTGCAGCCCGAGTGCGGGTATGTCAAAAGTGGGTTGTTCCACCAATCTTCAATGAAGACGGCTCAGTTGATGAAACTGTTGAACTCCCTACTACCTCAGTGTATGATATTGGCAAAGACGACTGGAGCCAATCTCTAATTGACAACCTCGCTGATGGAAAGTTACCCGAAGATCCACGTAAGAGGGTGGATATAAAGCGTCGAGCTTCTCGCTTCATCTACTATAAAGAGACGTTGTATCGTCGTTCATTCAGGGGAGTCTTTCTCCGATGCCTAGGGGAAGAGGAAGCTTTACAAGCTATGCAATAAGCTCATTCTGGGGTTTGCGGTGCACATCAATCCGGTCCCAAGTTACACTTCCACATTAAGCGAATGGGCTATTATTGGCCTACAATGGTAAAGGATTGCATAGACTATGCTCGAAGATGTCAAGCTTGTCAATATCATGCAAACTTTATCCATCAGCCACCAGAACATCTACACCCAACAGTTGCATCTTGGCCATTCGATGCTTGGGGACTTGATGTGGTTGGCCCAATTACGCCTAAGTCATCTGTAGGGCACGCATACATACTAGCTGCCACCGACTACTTTTCAAAGTGGGCTGAAGCCGTGGCATTGAAGGAGGTGAAGAAAGAAAATGTTGCAGACTTTCTCCCGCGATATATCTTAACAGATAACGGGAAGCCCTTTGACAACAAGTTGATGGACAAGATCTGCAAGCTTTTTGACTTTAAGCAGCGAAACTCATCAGCTTACTGTGCAACTGCAAATGGGCTTGCCGAAGCATTTAATAAGACCCTATGCAATTTGTTGAAGAATGTGGTCTCAAAATCAAAAAGAGACTGGCATGACAGAATGGAAGAAGCTTTGTGGGCGTATAGAACCACATACCGCACACCTACTCAAAGCACTCCATACTCTTTGGTGTATGGTGTAGAAGCGGTCTTGCCTCTAGAGCGTCAAATACCTTCCTTAAGGTTGGCTATATAGGAGGGTCTTACTGATGAAGAGAATGCTAAGTTACGCTTGGCTGAGTTAGAAGCCTTGGATGAAAACCGTTTACAAGCGCAACAAAGCTTGGAGTGCTATTAAGCTCGCATGTCTAGAGCTTTTAACAAAAGGGTAAGGACCCGTTCCTTTCAAATTGGGGACAAAGTCCTAGCTGTTCGCAGGCCCATCATCGTCACGAGAAAAACCGGTCACAAGTTCACTTCAAGGTGGGATGGTCCCTACGTGGTCTTGGAAGTTTACACCGGTGGGGCTTACAAGCTGATTAGTGAAGATGGTTTGAAGATCGGTCCAATTAATGGAAGGTTCCTAAAGCTTTACCACCCTTAAACTTGGGGTGTCAACACAAGTCATGAAGATAGGATGAATGACTCATCCACAAAAAATGCAGCACGTGGATAAACTGCTAATGCATCTCGCTTTGTTTATGGGTGGGCCCAAATCATAGACGCTCCTGGCCCACATGAGTCTAAATTGTGAACGGCTCTACTTTATAAAAAAAAAATCATTTGAACTACGTTTGACTTGATCTCCTTCATAGGAGTACGTAGGCAGCTTAGAAATCAAATTATCTAAGTTCAGTCATAACAGAAACAAGTCCAATTCATGTCGCAAGAGTGGTTTATCAAGACAATCATTCAATGGGTCAAAGCAAAGATGTACAAGTTATTGCTAAAAGACAATGAGAAGCACTCAATTATCAAGAGTTGAGGAAAGAAACAACAACAGTCTTGCAACCAAAAAGAAAAACGACTAAAGGAAAAATAACATCAGTCGATGAAAAGCTTAAAGGTAAGCATGTCATGTTTACATGCCTCCAAGTTTCTCTTGGCCTCATTCAAGCTCTCCCCATCTTTTGGAGTCAACAGAGTCAACCCTTAAATGAGAGAGACTTTTACCTTGGCATTTGAGACTGAATTCGCCTCAGAAGCGATAGAAGTGTCATAATCACAGCCATAGGGGCAAACCCTTCATGAAATCTTAAAGGAAAGAAGCTACAATTTTAAAGGAAAGAAGCTAAAGGATAATCCTTGGCACGAGTCGAAACTGCCTCATATCTTTTCGATACTCCTTGGCACGAGTCGAAACTGCCTCATATCTTTTCGATACTCCTTGGCACGAGTCGAAACTGTCTCATATCTTTTCGATACTCCTTGGCATGAGTCGAAATTGCCTCATATCTTTCAAGACCCTCTGACACAAGTGAAAACTGCCTCATGGTGGCCTCCAAAAGGTCATGATACATACAGAATACGGCCTCAGTCTGTTCCGAGTATCCCTGGATGAAATTGAATTCATTCTTAAAAGCGAGGGTACTAATTACACGAAACTCCACCTTTAAGTATCCATCTCCCAAGTCGAGAACATGTCTAAATATTTCACATTGCGTAGGCCGAATTGCAAATCCCATATCTTTGAGAGCTAAGTTTCGGTATCAAAAATTTAGTTCTCCACTCAAAGGAGAAAGATTTGTTTGCAAGGAAAATTTTCGTATGCATCGTGTGGTATGATTGAGTCCCATCTCCGCCATATATTATATATATAATATATTATATACGTATATATAATATGTAAGTGGGAGCCGAAATATGGATTATGGGTCATGCACTCAAGCATATGGATCATACACCAGTGGCCCACATGGGTTAAGTGTATTATATATACACAATAACACAAATAGTGGGGTGCATACATCACAAAGCAAACAAAGTGGAGTAATATATATATACATTCACACTACATGCAAAGCTAGCAGGCCACGTATATAATATGTATACATGCACAAGAAACAAGGATTATATATATTATATGCATATATGCTGGCAAGCACGGAGCATATTCACAAATTGCATGCAAAGTGATAAAGCAGAAGCATTAAACATATATATACACGCACAAACAGATGTGGCAATCACACGTTATACACTGACACACGAAGGAAAAAAAAACCTCCCAATCGACATGTGGAAAAGAGGACGAAAGCACATGGTTTTGTCAGGTTGAAAATTTGAAAGCGTTCCATGGTTATAAACTGTGAGGAGTGACTTTAGCCAAAGAATTCACGCAACACTCTTCTGTGAAGAGCCTCGCCGCTGCATGTTCAAAGGTACCGAGAGGTGGTCTACCGGAGCATGTGTCCGGCGACGTTCCAGCAACTCTCTGTCCCCCGTGATGGTGGCCGGCGGCCGATGGCGTGAACCCAGGAAATCAATTCCTATGAAGCTCCGGTCCAATGTTTGTGACAATAGAAACGCCGGGAGTGGTTCCATCTTCCCTGTCGATGAACCGACGGCAACTCGCCGGAGCACGGTGACTATCCAATAGCTTTCCTCTCCAAATGGCGTCATTGTCGACAACCATGCGCATCCTCCTTCGACGAGCTCGTCGATGATAGCAACGTGCCGGAGCACGCGCTCGGTGACATCCAACCTTGTGACAGCAGACGTCCAATGCGATACGAGATCACCAGCGTGATTCCGTTTCCTTCATTGCCGAGTGCAATAAGAATGGAGGGGCGCCGGAGAAACACCCTCCGTCGACCATACGGCGGCAACGGCAACGTGCCGGAGCGCGTGGCCGATGATTACACGGCAGCTTTCATCCCCAAAGGGCTAACGGCGCGAAACCAAACCATTCCGGAAAGAATCAATTTCCAGTCGACGGTGAGTTCAATCAATGGTGAAATACACCTCAGAAAATCAATTTTCAGTGTTTTCTACCCAATGCCTCACATGTCTCGTCTTCCTTCTTCCCCTGTCAAAAGAAAGTCAAGAATATAGATAGTTGCAAGAAGAAAGATTACCTTGTCACAGTGAAGATTGAAGCTCGGTGAAATTAATTACAGCTCTGTTCTTGGTTTGGGAAAAATGGTTAACAGTTACATTATTTATAGTCATGGGATGAGGATTTTGAGTGGGTTGGGACTCTAATTCTGTTACTTAATCCTTATCAGCTTATGATGTTGCGGTTAATTATGTGGTGGAATAGGAGAAAGGATTAATATGGTTTACAGGAGTATAATCCATTAACACAAGTTTTGTGGACCAATTTTTATTTTTTTTTAATTGTGAAGTACTTTGGATTAACAGGGGATGCTGACTCCATTTTGAAAATCTATGTACATGGAACGTAATTAAAGTACAGTTGGAAAATGGATTATTAATGTTGGCCGAAATTAAAGAAAAAATTCGACGAAAGTTATAAGCATGCTTTCAAATTTTGAAGTACATTCTTGGTTGGACAGTTGCCTGGGAATAAGTTGAGGAATTTTATGGTCAAATTATAGTCTGCAAGTCTGCCATCCCAAATATGGACTCTTGGACTACTACGGTTAATTTCGAGATTACCTTCCCTCTGCATTTAAGGCACGTCAAGCAAGTCTCGAAGGGGCAATTTGTAAGCATTGAAAATTTAAATAATATTGTTGGATCGTGGTGGATAATTGCTTACTAAATTAATTACTTTATTGAGTTAATTGGACTGATATTAATTTAATCAGGTCAATTAAATGGCCCATTAAATATTTAATTGGCTTAATTACTTAATTAAATGTAATTGGATGTTGGATTGTTCGGCCCGAGATGATGAAATATTTAATAAGTTGGACCAGGCTATTGAATCAATTGGATTGCATAATTAGCGGGTTTGACTTGGTCTTGGCCCACTAAAATTATATGTGGATTATATAATTTTAAGGGATTTGAATATTTTATATTATTTGGAAATTTAATTAAATCATGAACCTGGACGCAATGGTGTCTCGATACGTTCCTTAATTTAATTAAAATAATTAAATTAAATTAGGAATTAAGAGTTGGTTGGAGATTTTCCCTCACAATCACCACTATAAATAGTGGTTTGATTTCCAAAGAATGGGCTCTGGAAATCTGCATACCGAAGCTCTGCCGAAATCTCGCCAGGATATCATCTGGAACACGCCCGCAGTTGTACTGCGTATACCGCGCTGAGGAACACGCCACTTGAACACCGGAAGCCCTTCTTTGAAGATCAAGCTGCATATTAGCCCTTCATTGAGGAACAAGCTACTAACTCCGGAGGCCCTTCAGCAAGGAACTACTTCCAGTTCGGCATATTCCCGAACTCGGCATACTTCCAGTTCGGCATACTCCCGAACTAGGCATACTTCCAACTCGGCATACTTCCGACAAGGAACTACTTCAAGTTCAGCATACTCTGAACTCGGCACACTTCCAATTTGGCATATTCCAAATTTGGCACACTTCTAATAGGCATACCGCTAGTAGAGAATCAGAAGACTTCTCATATACAGAGATTGTACCCCTTCTTTATTGATACATACTACTTGTAACCGATACTTTGAATTTTGAATATATACAATTCAAGTTTTTCGCGTTTACAGTTTTTCCTCGACAAACTAATCTGCAATCAATCTATCTGACTGACAATTCACGTCTCCGTATCCGTCAGTCCAATACACCAGTTGCTTATCTCTAATAATCATCTTAAACTGGGGAAATGCAAAATTACAGATTGAAATAAGAATGTTTCTATCATTGTTCTAAAATGGATGATTGCAATTGCTTGTTTCATTTTTTACAATATTTAATTTAGTATTAATGAATAAAATTTATATATTTTAAAACTATATTATTAAACATAAAATATCAAATTTTAAAAAAAAATTATTAACCAAACGGCAGTTCAGGTTCTGGCGAAGAGGCCGGAGATTGTGTTTTTAATGGAAACTTTTTTAGTGAAGCAGAAGATGGAACCAATACGAATAAGGTTGGGGTTTGATAGTATGCTGGCTATTGACGCACAAGTGCACAGCGGGGGTGTGGCAATTCTTTGGGACAGTGCGGTGGATTTGGAGATAACGGGGTACTCGTCGAATCATATTGACGCAAGGGTGGTGTTCGACGTGGATAGCCCAGAGTTTAGGCTAACTGGTTATTACGGTTTCTCTAGTACGCAACGGCGGTGGGAGTCTTGGAATTTCCTCCGTGCACTGGCAGCCCTTAGCAACCTACCATGGGTACTAATGGGTGATTTTAACGATATACTACATCAAACGGAGAAACGGGGCCGGGTGCCACATCTAGATTGGTTATTGACGGGCTTCCGCGAGGCTATTCAAGATTGCGGATTGACAGATTTTGGGTTCTCGGGGTATCAGTATACTTGGCAACGGTCCCGGGGAACGCCTAACATGGTGGAGGAGAAGCTTGATAGGTTTCTTGTGACGGAGTCGTGGCTTGAGCTGTATGAAGGGGCGACAGCTGCTTCTCTTCCGTGTCCGTATAGTGACCATTTACCGATCATGTTAAGCCCGATTGTGGCAGCCCATCCAGCCCGGCGGAGGAGGTTTTGCTATGATAATATGTGGATAAAAGAAGAGGAGTTCAGGGAGGTTGTGGAACATAGTTGGGGAAGGACCGTGGGTCTAGATATCTTTCAGAGAATCGAGTTGTGTGGTCGGGATATTGGGAGATGGGGACGGTCCTATAACAGAGGCTTTCAGTTTCGGATTGATAGGTGCAAAAAGTTGCTGGAGGTGCTACGCCCGCGCAGAGATGTGGCTGGCATTCAGGAGTACGATGAGGTGGAGAGGGAGCTATTGGTGTTGCTTGACCAGCAACATATGTACTGGCGACAGCGTGTGTAACACCCCCATTTTCAATACTAAATTTTCCTTAATTTTTATTTCTTTTTTAATTGCAAATTTACAAAATCATAGCGGAAGCATTAACTAACCAAAAGAAAGGGTGTTACCGCCACGCTCAGGTATTTCCCTATACCCAAACGCTAAGGCTAAGATTTACAACATCAAATAAACTCAACCCAAATCCAACTTCTATATTACAAGAAAGGATAATACTATACAACCATAAAGCTTCTCACATAATAAATCTCCAATAGGTCTATTCTTAATTTCTTCTCAACTTGAATTCATCTTGAATCCCTTTATCCATGTTCACCTGTAAAAATAATTTGCAAAAAAATAGGGTGTAGACAAAAATTAGCATAAGCTAAGTAAGTTTCACTTCACCCCGTAAAATAATGGCTTGGATTTTATATTTTCAAAAACTCATATAATTTTATACTTTTTCAAAATACATGTGGAGTTATATTTTTCCTTGCATAGAGAATTAATATTTATAAGTGGAGAATTAAGAAACCTCATCGAATTCCCTTTAGAATCTGGACTAAAACCTATGTGCACACCCACAAGGGATTCCAAGCCACTGGGTAGTATATGATCCAAGTAGTCAGGTTTTCCTACCTACTACCACTCAAATAATTTGGAAACTGGATCATAACCTAAGTGATACACCCTCATGGGATTCCAAACCCAATGAATAGTAGTTAGTCCAAGTGAACAGTACTCACATTCATTGAACACCACACAGTACATTATTTGCTCAAAATTTCATTATTTCTCCACAGATAAATACTCTTCTCCAAAAATTCATTTTCTCCAAAATATATAATTTTCTCCAAATACATTTTCTCAAAAATACAATTTCTCAAATTGCAATTTCCTCCACATATAATAATTTCTCAAAAACATAATTTTTAATCCAAAATAAGGATGTAATACAAATTCCACCACATATAACACTAAAAATTCCAAGCCCCAGATTTACACAACACGAAGGTTCGACACGTCAAAACCCATTCTCGATATTTCGAGAATCACCACACAATAGTACCATTATCGATAAATGCACTCATGTCCACATTAATAGCATATATCATATAATATAACATATAATATCAATACATATAATACTGGGGGAAAAATAATAATTTTAGTGAACATAAAGTCTTACCTCAAAGCCAAATTTCCTATCAACACATAACAGAATTCTAATCACCATGATAGGGAACCTGCAATCACCCTAACAATATTATTATAATTATTACTGTTTTTATTATCAATATTAATCTTATACAACTTGGCCGAATCATTCTGATATCCTGAACAACTCCATTAATCATTATCAATCACAATAATGATTTCCTAATCATCATCCAACTTATAATTACTATTCTCAATAGTAATATAATAATAATATACCATGAAAGCAGTCGTATTCTTCATCAAACCAACATCACCGACGGAGAATCGTCGTTCGTCACCATCATCATACGGCACCGATCGTCACCTTACTTCTACCGTCGAAGCATTATCATCTTCTTCATCCTATTTCCTTCAGTATATCATCATCTCCATCTTATCCTTATCATTATATTCAAACTCCCATACTAAATTTTGTTTTTCTCCAAAAGAGGATTGAGGCTGTAGATGGGGAGAAAGCAAGAACAAGAAAGGACGGCTGAGGAATAGAGTGAACAGAGAGGTGAAATTAGGTTTAGGGTTAATTAAGGTAACTTTGAGGAATATATATAGTTAGGAATAATATAAAAGGATTAGGAATATATATATATATATATATATATATATATATATATATATATATATATATATATATACACTAGTATTGCCGTGTAAACATACACATATATATAGAATTAACATAGGATTAACTTATATATATTTACTAGTTTTTTACGCGCATTGCGCGATTGGGATAATGCCCAATGTTTTTCTTAAATAAGTATTTTAAAGTATATTAAGACAAGATTATATTAAAATTGTTCATGCTTAGATAATTGAATGTTGATGGTGAATCAACTCTAATATGGGATCACCCATGGCTACATGATGATAATCAACCGACAATACAAACAGAAAAACCACCCCAACTGGCACAAGCAGTGGTCATGGGGCTCATGGACCAACAAACAGGAACTTGGGATCAGGATATCCTCAAGGATATTTTTATACCTGAAGATGTGATGCGAATATTGAAGGTACCTGTGTCACCAGATTATGAGGACTTGTGGTATTGGTATGGGGACCCGAGAGGGGAATATTCAGTCAAGGATGGATACAGAAAAATAGTTGGTGACTACACTAATCACATTGGTGGATTTGATAAATGGTTAAAATTGTGGAAGCTCAAAGTCCCCCAAAAGTGGAAAACATTTTTATGGAGAACTTTGAATGATATATTACCCACTACGAATAATCTACTTATGAAGAGAGTTGATATTGATCCAACTTGTGCTATGTGTGGACTCATTCATGAGGATATAGTGCATTCTCTAATCACATGTGACTATACGGCGAACATTTGGGCACAATCCCACATTCCAATCCCCAATAGTGTCACAAATATTTTCAGTGATTGGTTTAATGATTTGTTGAATATTTTAGATGATGATGAGATTATTTATGCAGTGGCACTTCTATATTATATTTGGCGAACAAGAAATGGGGTTGTATGGGATGCATACTTACCCAGGCCTCGGAAAGTAATAGCAATGACAACCTCGGCGGTACATGCATGGAAGCTTGCCCACCCTGGATGCACGAATACGACGCCCACCACCGCGGCTGTTGGAAATCGCATTGCCGTGCCGCAAGAGGGAGTTCACGAACATGCTGCTGTGATTGTAGAAGAACACCAAATGCCTCCCACTGACGTGTCACATTACACACTGCCAACGGCACCAATTACTGCCCTCCACGCCACTCAATTGCCCATGCGACAACAATGTTACTTCGACGCGGCATACTCCCATCAAACAAACAAAGCAGCAGTTGGGGCAGTTATTCTCAACGGACAAGGAGGTTATATCTCAGCTATGTCGGCACCAATAATAGACTGTTTTTCACCACTCATGGCGGAAGCTTTTGCGTGCAAGGAGGTTCTATCTTGGTTAAGGGGCCGTGGGGTAAGATCTATCGAGCTCTTCACGGATTGTTTGACCTTGCAGCAATATCTATCATCTATGACACGATCGCCGCGATCATACCTGGGTTATGCTATTGATAGTTGCAGGACCAGTATGTTAACTTTTGATTATTTTTCGCTTTGTTATGTTCCTAGAGTAGATAATTATTTAGCACACACTTTAGCATCTTCCGCTTTTACGCATTCAGTTATTATGTATTCGGACTCTGGTCCACCAGACTCTATTTCAGCATATTTTGAATAAACGCCCAACATGCTCCTTTCAAAAAAAAAGATAATTGAATGTTGAATTTGCGTATTTAAATTGGTAATTCTAAGTTTACAAATGCAAGATAATATAGTCAATATTGATTATAAATGTCAATAAAATAATTGTTGGGTATGGTTGAAATCAAATACGGGACATAAGGGAGAGCAAATAAAAATTAAAGCATAAAATATTAAATATATACTAATATTGTTTTAGAAAAAATGCTAAAGAAAGTGTTTTGATTATTCAACAGTTTGAAGCAACAATTTGTTCCAAACCACTAAAAATTCAAACATTGCAATTTACAATATTTTCACTTAACTTTTTTAGAATTATTTCCCCAAAACACATTTATATTTTAAAAAAATTATTATTAAAAAAAAAATTATTATTATTATTATTATTATTATTATTATTATTATTATTATTATTATTATTATTATTATTATTATTATTATTATTATTATTATTATATGCACACCCTTAGGTCATTTTAAATGTTAATTTAAACAGTTAATTTTTTCAAATATCTTTTTACCAACTGTTGATATAATTCGCTGGTCAAATCCGCTAACGCTAACCGCTAACTGCTGATTGTCAAACAAGGACATCGCGATGTAGTTTCTCACTTCAATTTGTTGTGTGATTTGAATACTCTCTTTGTCAACAAATCCCTCAAGTAGTTAATATAATTGGCTTTATTAATTTAAAATTTTTAAATTTTTTCATGGTATTAATAAAATACTTAGTAAATAAATATATAGCATTATTTTGTATTATAAATTTGATATTTAATTAAAAAATAGTGAACAAAAAAGATAATAGACAATATAGTGAATATAATCAATTGATGAATTTGAATATAAAGAATTTTTACATTGGAGAAAAATAAAGACAATATAACTAATGAAATTATTTCTTTTAATTAATTTATTGATAATGAATAAATTTTTTTTAATAAAGACATTGTAGGGACAATGTAGCGAATATAATCGATGAATTTAAATTTTGAACGTAAAGATTTTTTATATTGGAGAAAATAAAGACAATATAACTAATGAAATTATTTCTCTTGTTTAATTTATTGATAATGATTTTTTTTTTTTGAATAAAGGCAGTGTAGACACATAATTCTAAATTAAAGAAATGCATATGTATTATTTTTTGTTGTCGCTACTAAATTATTATTTTAATAATTTAATAAGAGTAAAATAGAGTACTAATTATGTCAACTTTGATTGGGATGTGGTTCTAACCTAAGACCTTTCTTATTGAAATCAATGAGTAGTTAACGGTGAACTAATAGAAATTAACGGAAAAGGTAATATTTAACGGAAAAGTTAACAGATAATCATATTCATTAAGGATAAATTAGAAAATCTCAAGGAAAAAATAAAATCTGAGCAATTCATTTGATTAAAAAATTTGACCGTCATTTTTTCTACCCATTATAGGCCTAAATCTCTTGGGCTCTTATTAGTATAGTAGATATAGGATTAGCTTGTATTGTAGGGACGTATATATGTATAATAAATATTAGCTATGGCATATATATATATAGGATTAGGAACCCACATTAGGAACCCACAAGACTTAAGAAATAATAGGAGTTTAGAAAAATATTAGGTTAGATTTGGAGTTCAAAGAATAAAATAAAATTAGGGTAACAAGAATAGTGCCCAGAAAATATGGGGTATCACAGCGTGCCAAGGAGCATTGGTGGAGGGATGGGGATTTGAATACAAAGTTCTTCCACAATTCAGTTAAGACTAGGAGGCGGCGGAACAGGGTCAGGAAGTTGAGGAAGGAGAATGGGTCGTGGACTGATGGGGATGACGAAATAGGCGAGGTTATGTTGAGCTATTAAAAGGATTTGTTTACGGCTCAACCTGGCCGTGATGAGGATGTGGTGGATTGTGTGGGCACGCATGTGACAAGGGGGGATAATGTGCTGTTGGAGAGACCGGTAAGCATGGAGGAGGTACATAAGGCCGTTTTTGCAATGCATCCAGATAAATCCCCAGGGTCGGATGGGTTCGGTCCGGGCTTTTATCAACACTTTTGGCCAACAGTCGGAGGTGAGGTTACGCTGTTTTACCGTCGGTTTATTGAGACCTAGAGATTACCAGAAAAAGCTAATGACACCTTGATTGTTTTAATTCCAAAGAAAACTATGCCCCAGACAATGAAAGATTTGCGTCCCATAGCCCTGTGTAACGTACTATATAAAATTGCAGCCAAGGTGTGTGCAAACAGACTCAAACGGTTGCTGGATAAGATTATTTGTAAATCGTAAAGTGCTTTTGTGCCGGGCAGGCTGATAACGGACAACATACTGTTAGCTTTTGAAACCCACCATTATCTGAAGAGGAAGACACATGGCGGTTTGGGTGTGGCAGCTCTGAAGGTGGATATGAGCAAGGCCTACGACAGAGTAGAATGGCGGTTCCTGCGATCGGTGATGCTAAAGATGGGGTTCAGTGATAAATGGGTTAACATACTGCTGGAAACGATGAGTGGTGTCAATTACCATATTTTACATGACCAGAAGCAACTGGGATCGATTGTACCCACGCGGGGCCTGCGACAATGTGCCTTGATCGATAATCGGGTGAGAAGGGAGTTGCTGCATGGGGTAACAATAGCGTGGGGGGCGCCGCATATCTCGCATCTTTTGTTTGCGGACGACTGCTTACTTTTTATGCGTGCAAGTGTGGAAGAGTGTGGTGTGATGAGACAAATTCTAGACCAGTATGCAGAGGCTTCGGGCCAACTTGTGAATTATGATAAGTCGCAAGTCTGTTTCAGTTCTAATGTTGATGAAAATTATAGGAGCATGGTAACAGGTGTCCTAGGAGTACAGGCGGGTGATACAACAGGGAAGTATCTTGGCTTGCCATCTTTGGTGAGCTGGAATAAGAAGGCGATTTTGGGGTTTGTAAAGGATAAGATTTTGAGTCAGGTGCGTGGCTGGAACTCCAGGTTTTTGTCGCGAGCAGGGCGAGAAGTCTTGCTCAAGAATGTTTTGCAAGCCTTACCATGTTATGCTATGTCAGTGTTCTTGTTGCCTGATACACTATGTGCTGAAATAGAGAGGATTTTTAATCAGTATTAGTGGAGTGGAGTGGTTGGTGATCGAAGGGGACTGCGGTGGAAATCATGGCCAGCTTTGTGCGAGCCGAAAGCAGCAGGGGGGTTGGGATTCAGGAGGTTGAAACATATGAACCTTGCATTACTGGGTAAGCAAGCTTGGCGGTTCTTAACACGCCCGGACTCCTTTGTGGCACGAGTGTTTAAGAGCCGCTATTTTCCGAATACGACTTTTCTTGATGCAGAAACTGGCAGCAATCCGTCGTATGTATGGCGTGTGATAGTGGAGGCGAGATGTTGGGCAAGGCGTAGTGTTGGAGATGGCAGGAGTACGGTAATTGGGACGCACCCGTGGTTTGTGACTGCGGAGGATCCATATGTGCGTACCCTTTTGCACCCCACGATAGAGCATTCAATGGTTAGTTCGTTGTTGAGAGATGACGGCATGGGATGGGATACGGACTGTGTTATAGATGTGTTTGATGAGAGGGACGCAAGGTGTATCCTCAATATTCCAGTCAGTATTCGACGCCCAAGTGATGCATGGGTATGGAGTCGTGATTTGAAGGGGTGTTACACGGTGAAGTCATGCTATCGTTTGCTAGTTGGGGAGATGCATGTGGGGAGGCCTTGGAATAAGTTATGGAGTTTGGATGTGCCACCAAAGGTACGCCTGTTTGCCTGGCAGCTAGCTGCGAACGTTTTACCAACACGAGATGATTTATTGTCTAAGCGGGTGTCTTGTATGGTTACTTGTCATATGTGTGGCGCCGTAGACGAGTCCGTTACACACTTGTTTCGGGAATGTATGCACTCGGCTACCCTCTGGACAACAATGCAGTTTGCGCCAGCAAGGAATATCGATGGGGAGTTTGTGGACTGGTTTTTTGGTTGCCTATCGGGGTTGAGGGATGAAATGCAAGCTAAGTTTGTGATGCTGTGCTGGGGTTTGTGGAGTAGTAGAAACGATGCGGTATGGAAGGGGAAGCCGTTTGTTAGGGAGACTGTAGTGCATGAAACTTTGACCTTTTGGCACAATTGGAAGGTGGTGAACAGCAGTGGAGGGAGGCCAGGAGAGATGGTTACGGCAGTATGGGTGAGGCCGGCTGCGGGAAGAATGAAATTGAACACAGATGCCGCATTGGATAGTAACCATGGTGTTATGGGGTTAGGGTGGGTTCTCCGCGATGATGCTGGGTTATTTTTGGCGGCATGTAGTAGGCGGGTAGATGGGCAGTACATGGTGGAGGAGGCGGAGGCTTTGTGTCTTCGTGAGGCTGTGTTGTGGATACGGAATACAGGCATGGGGGAGGTGGATATTGAAACCGACTCGCAGCTATGTTATCATGCTATGGAATCGGCACCTTTTAGTTCTGCGTTTGGTCTGCTGATACAAGATGTAATACAGGTAGCTTCTTCTATAGGGGGGATTACCTTGTGTTATGCTAGGAGATCTACGAACCGTGCATCCCATGCTCTTGCAAGGGAAGCCGTTTCAGAGACAGGTCCTGGTGAGTGGTTAGATGTACCACCACATTATCTTGTTGATGTTCTTGCTTCAGATTTAATAAATTGAGTTCTGTTCTTCAAAAAAAAAATTATTTAAAAAAAAAATAAATGAAAAAGCAAGAACTGATTTGATTGTATACGTAATATATGTAGCAAACAAAATTAAACAACATACAAACAGTTCAAAATATAGAAGTGATAATAAACAGATTAGTTTCCTGAAAACTTGCAGACTAATCCCATCCATAAATCTAAGATAATTAGGGGCTGAAAATTAATTTAAAAAATGAGAAAAAAAAAATGTTGCCCCCTTTTTGTAATGACGATGGTGCATTTGAAAACGTTTGACAGTGCATCTTAATTAATACTCCGTAATATAATATTATAGATCTTAAGTGTACTATCAATTATCCATTGATGAACTACCAAATTTTTCTAAATGGACCATCATAATTATGATAATTTTACAACATTTTTTTTATTTAATTTTTAACTTTTTATCATCCTAGATGAATGGATGATATTAGTTCACTCTTATGGGCTAGTAATATGATATAGAAGTGATAACAAGTTGTAATTACGTAGTTCACACTTCACATATCAAACTTCTTTACTTAATTGTTACCTCTGCCCTGCAATCCCGACAATCCCCCAAGTTGATAAACTCTTTTCGTTACACACCCTGTACTTGGATTACCTGTCAATAATTATGAAAATCAAATAAAGAAACTTAGTAGGACCCGCGCACAACATCAAAAGTAGAAATGCATTTGATTGATTCTTCCATTAATTTCATCGAATATATATATATATATATATATATATATATATATATATATATATATATATATAGGTAAAGTAACAACTAGTAATCTAGCTAGTATTAAATCCGAGCGAAATTAAGAAACACTCTAAGTCTGCACATTTCACTTGATATAATCTCCACATTAAGTTGCTCATTTCCTATGTCTCGTACATCTTCCTCAATTTTCTTCGCTGAACTTTGAGTGCTATTATGGCAGCTACGCACACTGAGTAGTTTCAATGTTAAAATATCTGCCAATCTATAAGGCACCTCCCATAACTCCACACAATAATCCAAAATTACTTGCTCAAGACAAGGAAAAGACTCTTCACTGCAAATATTCCAAATTAAATTCTAATATCAAGATGGTGTAGTTGGAGGTATTTTAGTTTGTGGAATTGGGTTTCCTCATCCAGATTCCATTCTAAACCCTCCTCAAACTTGCATCACGCTAGTATTAGAGCCTCAAGAATGGGGAGTTGTGCCATTATTGAAATTGCTGACACCGAAAGAGTAATACCCTCCAAACTTATATTTCCTTAATACTTGATGGAAACTTGTTGAGTTTAAGATCATTAAGAAGATGTGGATTCCCATGATTATGTGGATCATCATTGCAAGTATTGTATAACCAAAGGGATTCAAGATGACGGAGAATGTCAATTTCAGGAAATGAAGATGATGGCGAGACCAGACAGCTCAAATATTTGAGATGGGGAAGCTTCCTCAATAAATGCTCATCCCTTATACTCAAAGAACTTTTCAAATCTAAGGTTTGTAAGACTTCTAAACCAGAAATTGTTTCAATAAATGGAGTTGCTACTATTGGGCATGAATCACAATAATAGTGGTGGATAATCATATGTCTCAAACTTTTCATATTCCAAAAATATTTTGGCAAATGCAAATTAATGTACGAAGTCAACTTTAATGTTGTGAGACCCTCAAGATTCTCCAGTGCCAATGGTGAGACAGAACCACATCCCGTTAGATAGAGAGCTAGGCATCTTAGATGAATTAGTGAGTTAATTTCAGATAAAATTACTTTATCCGCACGAATGAACTCTAAATCCAAGATTGTGAGATGTTCAAATTTTTTGGCAACCCATGAGCCATTATAAACCTTTGCACCCTTGTCTCTTCTGTTCAGCTTTGGGTAACCCAAAAGTGTGTGGATAGAAGAATTCCATGGTACCAATTCATTAGAAATCTCATTATCACCATATTTATGGAAAGATATTTGGTGTGGAGTAAATTTTAGAGTTAGATTCAACTTATCTTCCATCTTAATTATGTCCAAGAAATTTTCCTCTTTAACTTCTGATAAGCAAAAATCACGTACCAAATCATGAACAACGCATGATAAGATGCCACCATCGTACTTCCTTTCAGAAACCATTACTAAGTTACTGCCAACCAGATAGTTCAAACAATACTCTGCCGTGTCTTCTACTCTCTCCTCCTTCTTAATGCCTATGAACCCTTCAGATATCCATAGTTTTATTAGATAGGAAACTTTAATTATTTCATCCTCTGGGAATGCTGCAAAGTAAAGTAAGCAATGTTTCAAATTATATGATAAATGGTGGTAACTAAGTTTTATCACATCATTGCTCTGTATTCCCTCTCTAAACTCAGCACATGAGTTTAAAGTAAGAAAAAATTCTTGCCACATTTTTTCACTCTCTTCAACTCCTCCCAGAAGCCCGGCTACCAACCCAACTACCAACGGTAGCCCCCCACACTTTTTAGATATTTCTATGCCAATACTTTCAAGCTCTTTAGGACATTCGTTCCCTTTAAATAACTTCACTTGCAATAATTCCCAACTCTCATCAATAGTGAAGAAAGGAAGACGACAAATATGTTTGGAATCAGAAACCACACTTTCTTTTCTGCTTGTTAAAACAATTCTACTTCCATTGTCACATGAGGGAAAAACTCTATTTAACTCTATACATGCTTCAACACTCCAAATATCATCCAACACTATGAGGTATCTCCTTCCCATCAAACTTTTGCGAAGCTCTTGAGCGACATTGCCAATCTCTATTTCCTTACCACATACTTGACTGTATATTTTGTTCAACAAGTCCATGTAATCATATTCTTGAGAAACTGTACACCATGCACGGTTGTCAAAGTAGTTGGCTACATTTTTCTCTTCATACACTCTCCTAGCCAGAGTTGTCTTTCCCAATCCACCCATGCCTGTAATTAAAACAACTTCTCTTTCGTTTGACCCATAAATAAGCTGATTTATGATTGTTTCTGCTTCCTTCTAGAAATCCACAGCTTTATCAGAGATGCTTGGCATCTTTCTAATCTCAAATACGTTGTATTGTGTTGGTTAGAAATATATTCAAAAGAACAAAGTAAGGAAGTGATAAAATTTTGAGAGGCAAAGCACTTGATAAAAGACATGATGAAAAGATAAAGACTATCGGCACAGATAGTATATAAATTAATTTTAAAGTTTTGACTTTTTAAGAAATATAAATGTATCTTTAGAAAATAAGCTACTTTAGATTGAGAAACTTTATACAGTAACAGATAATTGCAAATTGTGTTTTATGGGAAGTAATCGAGAATTACCCATTATAGTATAGTGTGCATACTTTATCTTGTGATAATTAACTTCACTAAAGTTCAGACTAACAAGAGCTTACGAACCTTTGTAAGTGTGCACAAGCTTTGATCTGGAGATGAACACTTTGAATTGATGGATAGAACTAACTCGTGGAAGCTAAGATTATAATTTGCCTGTATTTTCCCGAAATTAGATAAAGATGAAAAGCTCTCTTCAAAAAAAAAAATAAAAAAAAATGAAAGGGTAGAATCGTCAGATCCGCACTAACCAACCATTCATAAACTAATTTAATGGACATTACAGAACCAACTACATACATATATTGTTATATATACGGAGTACAAATTAAAAGAAAAAACTAAGCAAACAAGTGAGGAAAGAAATAGCTTTACTAACAATAATACAATATTTCAAGAACGACTCACCTCTGATCTAAGAGTGAATGGGCAGAGAAATGAATTTCAGATCCAATATATATCTTTAAGAACACTGCAGATTTCTTGAAGTAGAAAAATAAGAGGAAAGAAATGGATATCAGATAAAAAATGAGGGCGAGAAATTAAGGATTATATTTTATGAGATATTGATTTTTGGTGTTAAATGATTGAAGGGAAGACTTTAGAGGATAGAGGTCAATTGTATGGACGCATCATGTACCTGTTTGCCAGTTGTTATACAATGTCCTAAATTGGGAATTTTTAATATTTGAATTGTTAATTTTTAGAATATAAATTGTGTATATAAATTTTGAAAATTTGTGAATACAATATAGAGTTATCACAAATTGTGAATTTTTGAATTCGGATATACCTTGCAAAATGGATCCTGGTCCACAGAATAATTTGCCGCGGGTTGCGAAGTAGTCCGGAGATGCAGTTCAATCAATTATTATACAGTGGACCACGATCCATAGATCATTATGTGGACTTTAGTCCAACACGATTGTTAAATGAAACTGTAGTAGAGTTATGGTACTTTAGTATTACTAAAATGAAACTAGTTTGTGTGAAAAATGAAACTAAAAAACAAAGCTAATCCAATAACGTATATTGTCAAAGTAGAATTAAAATGATACTTTAATATTGTTATAATGAAACTTGTGTGCGGAAAATTAAACTAAAAAACACAACGCATACAATAACATAATTGTCAGATGAACATAAAGTGTAATTAAAAGTATACTTCATCTCTATTATAATTAACTAGTGTGTGTTCAAAATCAAACCAAAAAATGGAACACATGCAATAACGTATATTAACAAATGAAATTGTAGTATATATTAAATGATACTTTAGTGTTATAATAAAATTATTAATGTGAGTGAAAATTGAAATTTAAAATCCTTTTTTTTATTATTTACATTTTATGTTATTTTTTAAAATTTTAGTTTTTTTTTTTGAAAGCCAAATGAATTAGATTGCATTAGCCACAAAGGGCTCAATAAACGAAGGAGGTATAACCCTCCAGAATGTTCGTCATGCTATAGCAGATACATGCTTAGATAAGGAGTGCGCCACATGATTGGCCTCCCTATTAACAAATAAAACTTGAGATCCGGGTAAAGCATTAAATAGCCGATTACAAGATAAAAGAATGAAACTAAAATAGTTACGAAACAAACTAGCATGACTAAGACTTGAAACCAAAACTGCTGAGTCAGTGTAGATTCTGCCACCTGAGTACCCGTTATCCTTCAACCAGGAGAGGGCTTCACACATTGCCATAGCTTCCGCTAAGAGGGGATCATACGGACACGGCAAGGGTCCATTAGCCGCTGCCACAAAGGAGGAATCGCCATCCAAGACTACAAAATCAAAAGCCGCGGTATGTTGGGGGCTGTGAAAACCGGCGTCAATATAACAATGGAACAAGGGCGCCGTGGTAACAATTTGTGCATGTGTTGAAACGGTTCGGTTGCTGTAATCGCCAACATGGCTCTGCTGACTATCCATCCACGAAGACCATTGTGCCAAGTGTCGCCTCATAAGCGAAATCGGCAATGGCAAGACATACTCCCATACTGCCGAGTTCCTAGCAGCCCAAATGCTATGGAGAATGCCACAAATTCTACCTTGTAGCTCACGTGTATATCCTGTTGCACCGCCAAGCCATTCCTCCGTCCACTGTAAAAAATTCATGTTGGCAAAAAGGGGAATTTGAATCTGAGAAAGTTGCCAAACATTAATAGCATATGGGCACGAGCAAAATATATGCATAACACACTCCTCAACTAAGCCACAAGACGGACAAATATTAATTATATCGACCCTCCTATTTATCAAATTATCAAGAGAGGGCAATATATTCAAAAGGGCTCTCCATAGGAACACCTTCCATTTGGGGGGAACCTGCAGCTTCCAAACATTATTCCATACAGGTGAAGGGTTCGAATTCAAGAATCCCAACCTTCTATAACCATCTTTAACCGAATAACATCCCCTTATATCCCCTTCCCAATACCATATATCCTCATAATCCATACTCACAGGCAATTTCAAAATCAGCCCTGTATCCCATGAATTAAAATTCTGGTGCAAAAAATCATGATTCCAGCTACCCGTGTGGGCATCAATCAAATCCGAAACTAACATTGGGTGGCCGTTATGTACTTGATCATTTTCAACATAAGGATTCTGGCGATCCGGAAGCCAAGGAGTCGTCCAAACCTGCGTAGACGTACCATTTCCAATTCTGCGCCTGCATCCAGACTTTAACAAATCTTGGCTGGCCATAATGCTTCTCCAAACATAGCTTGGGTTACCACCCATAACAGCCTCATAAAAAGAAGTAGTCGGGAAGTACCTTGCCTTAAAAACACGCGCCATTAAAGATGTGGGATTTGTAAGGAGCCGCCACCCTTGCTTAGCCAATAGGGCTAGATTAAACTCATGTAAACGTTTAAAGCCCATTCCACCATACTTCTTCGATTTACACATCCTGTCCCAGGCCAACCAATGTATGCTACTGTCATTACCACCCTTCCCCCACCAGTACCTGTTCATCAATCTCTCTAAAGAAACACATAAAGTGATTGGAAGCAGATAAATACTCATAGTATAAGTTGGCATAGCATGTGCAACACTCTTCAAAAGAACTTCCTTACTTGCCTTAGTTAGTAGCCTCTTATTCCACGAGCCAAACCTCTGTCTCAGCTTTTGCTCAATGTAAGCAAAAACCGCCCTCCTATTTCTGCCAACAACGGAAGGCAACCCTAGGTACTTCCCAAAATCCTCCGCCTGAGAAACCGTCAAAACCCCTGAAACAAGTTCCCGCATCTCCTCATGTGTATTTCGGCTGAATGAAATGCTTGATTTGTGGAAATTCACCGCTTGGCCAGAAAAAGACTCATAAACACTCAAACATCTTTTAACTTCCAATGCTTCCTGCAGATTAACTTTAAAGAAGAGCAAGCTGTCATCTGCAAAAAACAAATGTGAGATCGGTGGTGCCCCCCGGGCCACCCTACATCCATGAATAAGACCTTTTGTTTGGGAGTCCTGCAAAAGCAAAGATAGTCCTTCTGCACAGATTATGAACAAATAGGGTGACAAGGGATCCCCCTACCATAATCCCCTTGTAGGCACAATCTCCTCCGTAGGCCTGCCATTCACCAATACCCTATACCGTATGGTTTGAATACTCAACATAATCAACTGTATCCATTTAGCATCAAAACCCAGACCCACAATATCATTCACAAAAGACCACTCCATCCTATCATATGCCTTTGCCATATCAAGTTTTAGCGCGGCCCACCCTACCTGGCCTAACTGCTTCCTCCTCAAGTAATGGCCAACCTCAGAAACAATCAGAATATTGTCCGAGATCAACCTACCCGGAAGGAACGCACTTTGTGAATCTGATATTATACTCTCTAGCAGGGGTTTCATACGATTCGCTAACATCTTAGCCATAATCTTATATATAACATTGCACAAAGCGATCGGGCGTAAATCAGAAACATGCTCAGGAACACATTTTTTAGGGATCAAGACAATGTTTGCATCATTCAAGCAATCAGGGAAAGATGACTGGGATAGGCAATTAAGCACAAAAGAAGTGATATCCTTACCGATAACATCCCAGAAGGCTTGGTAGAAACCAGGATTCATGCCATCCGGACCAGGGGATTTATCTTTGCCCATAGAAAATAAAGCAGCCCGCACCTCCTCCGGCTCAAAGGGGCGCAATAGATGAGCATTCTGAGCTTCAGTCACACGTGTCTGAATAGAATCCACCCTGAAAGTCCCTGGGGAACCTCCTGAAGCAAAGATCTGCTTATAATACGAAGTAACCAGAGAATCCAAAGCCTGACCCTCCTGTCATACCCCATTGTCATCTTTTAACTTCTCAATAATATTCTTCTTCTTCCGGTGTGACGCATACTTATGAAAAAACTTGGTACGATCTGCCCACGCAGCCAGTGCTGCTTAGCACGCTGCTTCCAAAAAGCCTCCTCCTGAGATAGGGCTAAATTTAGGCAACTGTCTAGCTGTGCAAACCGAGCCAACGATGCAGGATCGCGACTACCTCGCATCTTGTCCATCTCCTTCCGTAACACACCAATCCGCTTACCAAACTTGTGGTGCCAATCCCCACCCCAAGCTTTCAAGCCCTTACCACACTGAACAAGCCTAGCCTGCATATCCAAACCCTGTGAACTGGCCCACTCCTGCTCCACCACTCCCCTACACCCCTCATCCAACAACCACGCATTCTCAAAGCGAAAACTACGTGGCCTAGTAGCATGCACCGATCCATAAATATCCAGAAAAAGAGCCGAATGATCCGACAAGTCCGTACAAATATTGTACAACCTCGCCCTATCATAACATCCCAGCCAATCCATACAAGCTACCACCCTGTCAAGCCGCTCTTCCACCTAGTCCACAGTGCCCTTGCCCCTTTCCCAAGTAAATGGATAACCAATCATAGGAAGACACAACAAACCACAATCCTCTAGGGCCTCACTGAAACCTTCAATCAAACCATTCGGATGCGGCAATCTTCCCCTCTTCTTCGATTGGGCCAATAAATCATTAAAGTCCCCCAGAACCACCCAAGGTAACTCAGAAGCCCCCCTAAGAGACCTCAAGTAGTCCCATGACGCCCTTCTCCTGTTCCTTTGAGCATAGCCATAATAACGAGTGAGCCGCCATTGCGGCCTCCTCGGGAGCGACACCACCAAGTCAATGTGATTAGCGGTAAAACTGATCAAGCTAGCATAGTTGTTTTTAGCCCATAAAAAACATAATCCCCCCCTATGACCATCACTGTCCACCTTGAAACACCCCTCAAAACCCAGTTTAACCCGTAACCTCTCAGCATGACTACCATCTACCATCGTCTCCATCAAAAAAAAAAAAAATCCGGCTTCCTTTTGGACACAAGGTCCACAACTTCTCGAACCGTCCGTGGATTGCCCAAGCCACGGCAGTTCCAAAATAAGGTACTCATTGGGAACGGCGGGCCTGGTCCCCAGGTCCCACAACAAAAAAAGAAGATGATTCCACCTGCATGCCTCCGTCCACCTCCACCACACGACCGTCCGCCCCCCTACGTCGTTTGGGGTCTACCCGAACCCCCTACTCTGCCCCTACCCCACCACCCGAGACCCCCACTGGAAGGCCACTGCCACCCGGATTGCCCCCAGCTTCCCGACGCGACGCCTCACCGGCGACCCCGGCAGACACCACTGCTCGTAATTCTCCACCCGGCGCCCCGCCATACCCAATCTCACGATGGCGCTCCTGCCCCAGGTAAACCACCTATCCCCTAACACCTTGGCCGGACTCGTGCCCCCCGCTTTCAATGCCGGTCCATACAAATACTGCTCGGGCATGAGTGGTGATCGTCTCGCATCCAGACAGAACTTGTTCGTGTGTCCCAATTTCGCACAAAAATAGCAAAACATATGTAAACGCTCATATTTAAAGTTTACCCATACCCACGAACCATCCCGAAGAATCATCTTCATGCGGCGCTTCAATGGCATAGCCACATCATGCCTGACCCTCACTCTGTAGAACGTAGACCACGGTCTTGTAAAATTTCGGTCATCCACCCGCAAGTATATCCGAACGAAGTCCCCAACCTTTTCCAACACCTTCTCAGTACGGTAACCAATCGGAAGATCAAAAACTTGAACCCATAAGTCTATCGAGTTTAAAACCACGTGTGTTGGATTGTCATCGCCATGCAAAGGTTGACAGAGCAGTGATGCGTTTTCGAAGGCCCAGGGCCCTTCCTCCAAAACACGCCGTCTGTCCGCTTCGTCGAAGAAGGTGAATAGGTAGAGATTCGGCTGCACATCCGCCACCTCTATGCCCATCAACGGACGCCACACCGACGCCAACACCCTCTTCATCATCTCACTTTTGATCGGCCTGTCAGTTAAAAAATGCCCTACTATCGACCAGGTCTGATTTGCTACTGTCCGATAAATTCCTCGCGTCGGCTCTTCCTCAAAACGCACACCAAGGTCTTCTTCTTCCAGCGAAATATCGGCAGTGTTGTCGACAATGTCCTGAATATCCATGCCGGCGTCGAACAAGACTCCAAATCCGGTCGTCAATGTTCGTCAGTCACAAAAGATAGCAAAACCCTAGATTCCAGGGTAGCAAGATAGAGAAACCCTAGATACCAGGGTAGAGAGGTTCGTTGGATCAATCAGCTTGTTTAAAAATTTTAGTTAAAATTTTAGTTAAAACCACCATTTTTTAAAACTTGCCTGCTGCACGCCTTGCGCCAAGCCAACTGGCGATTGGCGAAGTGGCCAGTAGACAAATAGAGGGATTGAATAAGTTTTTTAATTTTTTTTAAATAGTTAATTGTTGTAAGAGATTTTATGAGTTAATCTCTTAACAGTTTGTTTATGTCAAAATTTCAATTAATCAATTTTTTGAGAAATTAGTGTTTTGTAAAGCATGCAGTAGAAGTTTTTATCTCGTTTTAAAGTTTTAAGAAATTATGAACATACCTTTCCAGAGAAAAAAAAAATTATTAACATACCTGTTTTGATTATTTTAGTTGAAAAATTAGCCTAAAATCCCACTAAAATTACAGCTGGTGGCAGTTTGAAAAGCATATTTTTTTTTATTTTTTTATTTTTGTAATTTCACAGTTTTGGAACCGGTACAGGAAGGATTATTCTAGCACAGCGCCAAGCAAAGTTCAAAAATTTTGGTGTAATTTTCAGATTCCATAACTGCTTACATGCCGAGAAATTGGTACTTACTTGCTGACCGCTTTCACACAACGATAACCACTACGTACTGAATATAAGCCCCTTATATCCCCTCGCCAGCACCACATATCCGGTATACCACTTGATACAGGGATCGAAAGGATTAGCTCTGCATCTCTGCAAATAAAACGATTTCTAACTGCATCAACCTTCCACTCAGAGCGGCTATGATCAACCAGAGTCTCAACCTTAACACCTTCATCATCACTTGTACTTGGCGTTTGAATAAAATGATTGTTTTTATCTGGAAGCCACGGCTGACACCAGATTGCAGTCGTTCTGCCATCACCAATCCTTCTATAGCTTCCTGCTTTCAAAATCGGTTGCCCAGCTAATAAGGATATCCAACAGTAGCTTGGATTTGTGCCAATAGTAGCTTCAAGAAAAGATTTGCCATTAAAGTATCGGGCTTGATAGAGACGAGCAACAACCGACATGGGATTAATCATCATCCGCCAACCTTGTTTGGCTAAAAGAGCGACATTCAAATTGTGCAAATTTTTAAAACCCAGGCCACCCTCAGACTTTGGCATTGTCATGCGATTCCACGACAGCCATCTCACGCCTCCTTGTTCATTTAATTTACCGCTCAATATGTTCACAAAAAGTAACTGGCAAATAATAAATGCTCATGGTGTATGTGGGCAGTGATTGTGCGACACTCTTCAATAAGACCTCTTTTCCAGCTCTAGAAAGGATTTTCTTACACCACCCTCCCAGCCGTTGCTTCAATAAATGAGAAGACTTCTTTCCTATTTCTGCCCATGCTTAAAAGGAAGCCCAAGATATTTCCCTATATTCTCAGTCTGATTAACTCCAAAAACCATAGCCACAGCAGTTCTCATCTGATCATCTACATTTCGACTGTAAACAATGCATGACTTGTAAATTGATTAATTATTAAAATTGGGGTTCTTGATATTTGAGGATTTTTCATTAAAAGATTTAATTTATTGTGGTTTGTTAATTGGAATCAATTTGTCACTGTCGTAATTTATGTTTTAATTAACATTTGATTTCATATGCAATCAACAAACATATATTTTTTCCTAAAAAAAAAAAAAAACATATATGTTATATATGTACGCTGTTCATATATATATATATATATATATATATATATATATATATATAGAGAGAGAGGCTAGGGTGATTTTCTGGTGCACACTAACATTATCCTGTGAACTTGTGAATTGATGTGGTGCATTGATCTCGGTCATCCAACGGCCCCTACCTAATCAGCAACTCCTTTACTATAGTCTGCCAAACAAATTGCTCCTGGGGCATTACGGGAATAACATATTTCTTGGATTTGAATTATAGATAGGAGGCGTCCATCCCGTGCTTGGTTTCAGGTGTTCACGGTTGGGGTTAGTCGAGCGTTGTTCGAGTGTGTTCCCTTTTCATTTTTTTTCCGGTGTTGGACGCGTGATGCACCGCAGTGCATCTGCCTCACTGTTTGCCACCATGGCGCGGCAGTGCACGGGGTCTCTGGGTCGTCGCTTAGTGCACGTTGAGTGACCAGATGCGCAGAGCCGATACTAGAACCGGTGCATCGGCCCCCCGGTCGGCCATCAGCCCAGCGCTTGAAGGGACTAGCCGCAGAGTGTCGGCGGCGCGAATAGATAGCCGGACGCACCCCTCTTCGATCGTCGATTGCCATTGGACCTAGCCATCCCTAATCGCGCAACCCTCAAGAGAGACACCACTGAGAATACGGTGTACGCACGAGAGAGATAAGCGGCAGGGGAAAAAACAAAAACAACCCACACGCAAGGCGTAAAGTGGGGGAGTGCAAAATACTAAAATGCCCCTATCACCTCTACAGCCCAACAGATAGCATGTACACGATGCACTAGTCCTGCGTGCACCCAAATTAGAAATGCAATCACGGCCCTCGATCAGCCAACATGAAAGGCTTAAAGCAGTGCACACATTCGCAAGATAACAATAGTTCGCATCTCTCTCTCTCTCTCTCTCTATATATATATATATATATATATATATATATATATATATATATATATATATATATAATGTGTATTGTCATGTCTTATTGAAATCAATTATGTATGTACGATTGTACGTACTGTTTATATACATAATACTCCGTACACAACTACATATATGATAGTTATTGCCGTAGGGTTCATGTACGTACTTATGACTTATATATTATACGGTTTGTCCCTAACAATTCATGAATATATGTTATAAGAGAACTACATATAACTCAAGGTTTAATCACATAAATGAATTATTAGCATAAGGCGAATGTGTTAATCGTAAAAACGTTTCACTCATGGAAATAGCTAAATAATTATTTATGTTTACAAATGTTTATCATACACATGTATTTCACATCATTGAATGACACTAAAGGATCGATAAACATTTGTGATCATTAACACATGGTTTTAGCGATCACTCTAAGGTTGATCAGACATGCGATTAATGACTGATAGTGTTAATTCCCACGTAAGCGGTAGATAAAATAACACAAACCCAATCAAAGCAAGTAAAACTCTTTTATTGATCGGGGTGAAGGACCTAAATACAATCTACAATGGCTATTTCGAGGGCCGACTGACTGCGGTCGGGAT